AGAACCGTGGTCGATCAGTTGGTTCAAAAGACCCGTACCTTGAAAAAGAAAAGTACCTGAAAAAATCGACCAAAAACTTCAGAAGATGTAACATTAGAAAAGATTGATCAATTAAATATTGAAGATATGGTTCCTCAAGAACCACAAATGTCCAAAAAATAATGAAATTTCAATAAATTATATGTTATCTCATAAATTATGGGAACGAAATAATGTTGTTATAGATACTATTTTCTTCTTTAATGTGACTCTTGATATTCTAAAAAATGAGGATCATAAACTATAATTAATTAAAGACTGTCAAAATAGAAATGATTGACCAAAAAAAAAAAAGTCATACAGGCAAAATTGAATTTCTTATAGAAACGAAAAGTATTTGGACATGTAGTTCAAACACCTGAAAAAGTAATCCTTGTGGGATACAAATGGGTTTTTATACAAAAGAGAAACAAAAATAATGAAATTACAAGGTACAAAGCCTGACTAGTAGCTCTAGATTTCTCACAAAGACCAAAAATTGATTATTAGAAAACATATTCTCCAGTAATTAAAACCATCACTTTTAGATTCTTAATAACTTTGACAGTGTCCCAAAAGCTTAATATATGCCTTATAGATATAATAACTGCATATTTGTATGATTCACTTGACAGTGACATATATATAGAAGTCCCTAAAGGACTTAAGGTGTCAGGAACAAATGATACATGCCTGAGAACCATGTTTTCAATTAAATTGCAAAGATCATTATATGAATTAAAACAATCCGGACGCATGTGATATAATCGCCTTAAGGAATATTTGTTGAATGAGAGTTATAAAAATGACGATATCAGCCTATATGTTTTCATAAAGAAAACATATATTGGATTTGCAATTGTAGCAGCTAATGTTAATATTTTAAATTTAATTGGAATTCCTAGAGTTTAACAAAACTATTGATTATTTGAAAAATGAATTTGAGATGAAAAATTTGAAAAGCCAAATTTTGTCTCGGATCATAGATTGAACATTTCCCACAAAGATTATTTATTTATCAATTTACATATATAGAAAAAGTTTTAAAACACGTTTATATGGATAATGCACATCCACTGGCATCACCTATGGTCATTCGATTATTCAATGTGAAAATGATCCATTTCGTCCACTTGAAGATGGAGAAAATGTTCTCGGCCCTGAAGTACCATATTTTAGTGCAATTGGAGTATTAACTTATCTTGCAAACTGCATTCGACCAGACATAGCTTTTTCTATAAATTCCTTGCATAATATAGCTCGACACCAACTCATAGACATTGGAATGATGTTCAACATATTTTTCATTACCTACAAGGTACTATTGATTCGTGATTATTTTATTATTAGAAGTCGGGATTTACCTTAGTGGGATATGCAGATGCAGGTTATCTATCCGATCAACATAAAGTTAAATCACAAACAAAATATGTGTTTACACGTGGAGGAACAGCTATATCATGGAGATTTGCGAAGCAATCAATGACAACAACATCCTCAAATTATTCTGAAATTATTACAATCCATGAAGCAGGCAGAGAATGTGTATGGTTGAGAAATATGACCCATCATATTCAAGCATCATGCGAGCTAATTTCAACAAAAGATAGTCTAACAATTTTTTATGAAGACAATGCGACTTGTACTGCACAATCAAAAGAGGCTATATCAAAGGTGACAAGATAAAACATATTTCTCTAAAATTCTTTCATACACCCGAGCTTCAAAAGAATGACAATATTAGCGTCCAACAAATTCCTTCAAGTGATATTGTGGCCAATTTATTCATAAAAGCAATACCAACATCTACATTCAAAAAATTGGTTCACAAAATTGAAATGCATCGACTTAAATATTTTCAGTGTCGACATCACGGGAGTAGCTTTACTCTTTTTCCTTCGCTTAGATTTTATCCCACTGAATTTTCCCAGTAAGGTTTAATGAGACAATTTATTTTTAACACTCCAAAATAAGTGTACTCCTTTTTCTTCGTTTGATTTTTTGTTCCATTGAGTTTTTGTCAATCAATGTTTTAACGAGACAAATATTTTGTTGTAAATGTAAGTTTACTAGGTTTGTTAGTGAATGACAATTTTACCCCTACAACTCTAGAAATTATGACCACTGTATCCATAATTCTTACTTATAAATATAGAGTTTTGATTCTTAATAAAATACACACAAATCTATTAACTTCTTTATATTCTTATCTTTTTTTTCTCTTTTCACAACAATGGACACAGAAACCTGATTTTTCCAAAATTCTTGGACTGTTAGGGTTTCTCATGATGTGACGGGTACCATGTTCCCATAAATGAATAGTTGATTTTGGCCAACATGCTTAATGGACCCAATTATCGCTCCACTTTACCAGGCTGACCAATCCTATAGCGCCACTCATGGGGCGTGTATCGATTGACTGCATTTTTTATTGTACGTTTCCTTTTCTTTTTCTTTATTCTTTATTTATATTTTTCTTTTCTTTGTTTAATCAATTTTATCCATTATTTCAGTAAATATAGCACTTATTGGTCACCATTAAAATTTTAATACATTTTTTTCTTCTTTTCAATCACACATTTTTCAATAAAATAATATTATTTATAAATAAAAAAAAAATTTCTCTTTTTTTTAATCACACATTCTTTCAAAAATTATTATTTCAAAATAGATTATTTTCAAAATTTCATTATAATGGGCCAAACAAGCGAATAGTTAAAAACAATAAAGTGGTTAGCTGCTTTTTTTATTGTTTCAAAGTGTCTAATTGTGTTTCGATACATTTTTACCCTATTTTTGAGCTTGTCCATGTAGCATTGTTGTTGTAAAATATCAGTGTTTGATTGTGATTTTTTTTAAAAAAAAAAAATCAAATTTTAATCATTATTTCATTATTTCGACCATTATTTTTGACTTCTTTTTTTATAAATAGAATTAACTTTTTTTTCTAACGATAACAAAAACACAAATCACGGGCAAATAACGTGATTCAAATTTTAAACTTGGATCGAGAGCCGCCTTTGTTGACCTAACGATATGTCATATAATTATGTTTAAATTATCTTGATTAGACATGACTAAAATCAAAGGAAGATTAATCTCTTCTTTTCAGTTGTGGCTGGTGACCGAATGCTGACATAAGGACTACATCATACAAACTTACAGAAAATTAATTCAAAATCAACATAACCTTAACATTTTAGCCTAAAAGTGCTTCTTCAAAATATTAACTCAAACTTACTTGATACGTTAAGCCCCCGTTCAACCCCATTAAATTTCATTCCATTTTTCTTTTTTCTATTCTCAATCATACAATCTTTTATAAAATAATGTTACACTTAAATCGAAAATTTTTTCTTCTTTTTCAACCATTCATTTAAAAAAAAAAAACTATTTCACCGATTTTCATTTTCAGTAAATGGGGGCCAAACATGGGCTAAATTAAAATCGAATGGACGAACTCGATTTGAGACAAAGAAATTACAGTCAGCCTAATCAATGGGAGGTTGATGTTAAGCCGTCGTTTGATAGGGATTAAAATAAAATATTTAATTGACTTTAATAAAAATTGATGAAATGCGTAATAAAAAGTTATGAATCCCATAAAATATATGATTAAAATTAAATTTAAATTTTTACCAAACAAGGACTAAATCCTTATCCAAGTTAGCCTCCAGTCAAGTGTGTGCTGTGTTGGGTTGCATTTGCATAGTTGCAGGGATGTGTTTGGCTAACTTGACTAATAAGTGAAAGGAATATGCTCTGGCAATCCATTTACAATCATTCGTATTTTGAAGTGAACAAAAACTTTTCTTATTCGATTGGATAAATTTGTAATGTAATATTCATATATTAAGCCGTGTTTGGTTCAACTTAAAAGTTTGAATTAAAATTAAAATCAAAGTCAACTTTTAATTATAATTAAACATTTTATTGGACCAACAATTTTCCAACCTAATATTCCATCAGCTTTTATTAAAATGGAAAATGGCAAACGACCCGCGAGGTTGACCGCACACTCACATGCCTGGCGTGGGTCCCATGAATAAAATAATCCTGACCTCCATGTGTGTGTGGTGTGTCAACCCCACGGTCATTCCTGCGAATACTGTAGCACGGCTGTATTAAAATCTAGTGCTTCCGTTATTTGTTATACAACATTTTCAAGTTACATTTCAATTATTTTTAGTTGATATGTTAGTAGCTAGCATTGAGAACATCAAGAATAATATATAATGACTTTCTTGAACGTGAAAATTGCTTGAAAGGGTGAAACAACTTTCTTAGAAGTTTGAAATTTCGAGTTTAAAAATGAAATGGACGTCTAGATCATAACTCAAATTTATGTTCCTTAATTTTATTTACTTATTTCAAAAATAATTTTAAATAGTAGTTTAAATTTCTCTTCTTCATACTAGTTTCTCGTTTTCGCGATGTTACTATTTTAAATTCGCATCTCTTGTAATAGAGAAAATGTAAAGAAAATTTATAAGTTAATTTCAGTGAAGAATACTAAAATATATAATAGCAATAATTAGTAATATTTATAACTCAAAATGATTATATTAGTAGTCACTCGAGCTTGTAATGATGACACTAACAATCACTAAAATGGAAGCGTCAACCTAAAATCTTAAACGTTACCAAAGTTGCATCGTAAACACAATGCAACGTTAGTTAACACGCTACCTCACACCTAATCATGTTAAATTTGAAAATTTGTGGGCCAACGTTTGACTTTTCGCAATAAAAAGACTGAAAAGACCTGATCCTTAATTTCATCCTTAATCTACAACCCTTACCGTCCTCTTAACATAGCCAAGATCCGTTGTCCAATTTTGTTGTTCATCCAATTAATTTTTGATACATCATTAATTTCGTAACTTAATGGTGAAGATAACGAGGATAGACCTGATACAACAAATTAATTATTGATAACATGTCAAGAATTAATTGAATATACACCAAAATGTGACAGCAAATCTTGACTCCTCTTATCGTGTTATCTATCCACAATGAAATTTAATGCGTATGACTTGTAGGATGTTTTCAATCTGAGCAACCATCACAAACTTGAGCTGTTACGAATGGAAGAAAGAAAATTTCTTCAATGGTCATTTTGAAATTTATGACAAAATCGCTGAAATTAACTCGACGTTTAACATAATTACAGAAAGATTTCCAATAATTGGACCCCGAATCCATTACTTTATCAAACCCAATCTTCACATCACAAGCAGCTTGAGTCGGCGCACAACATCAAGAAAATCGAAGAATAGAAATTCCCCTGTATTTGTCGCGTGCTGTATGACTGAATTTTCTTTAAAATGCCCAATGTCTCTCTCAAGTTTTTCAGCTAAAATTCCTCTTCTGCATATCCAAATCCGAACTAGGAGAAGAAATATCTACATTTCCCCAAATACACCAAGTTTCTCTTCATTGTTTGATAGAAAATTGCTCTCAATTTTAACTAACTACCGGTTTAGCAAAACCCAAACCATTGTTTGCGCAACTATGGAAGATCATAATAATTCAGCTGTTGAATCCTTTGTGTCGGATAAGTATTTTAAAGAATTGGAAGTTGCTGTGAAGGCAGTGCAGATGGCGTGTTTGCTTTGCCAGAGAATTCAACAAACTTTACTTTCTAAAGCAAATGACCATGTACAATCTAAGGATGATAACTCTCCTGTTACAATTGCGGGTAATTCTTTTACCCTTTTCTGGTTTTACTTTTCTCTGTCGGTTGTTGACTTCAAAAATGTTCCGGGTTTTGAATTCGATTATATATTGTGGATTTAAATTAGAAAATGTGGCAGAAATTGATTGTCTGATGAGCAAATATGCAGTTCTTAAAGAGCAAGGTAGTTCTTATTGAATTACTAGTAAACTATTTGATTTCTGTTAGTGAGTTAAACAGCACGTTTTGTCATCAATAAAAGGAATTGGAGAGTGGCTGTTGCAGTTCAAAAAAAAATTCCATGACGCAAATGTTTGTCAATTCTATCTTACTGATAAATGAAAAACAACATATTAGGTTGATTTCTATTTGCATCTTTTTAATTTGTATAAGTAGGAAGAACATTAGAATGCCTCTTTATTGCAATGAAGGAGACGCATAAGATCGTATATAATATAGAGTTATTTAGAACATAACTCATGTTTGTTAAATTATAAGGGAGGATCATTGAACATAAAGTAATCAAATTTATTAGCCTCCATATATAAATGGCTTATAAAGAGAAATAGTCGTGAGTCCCACAAAATGTGTGGATAATAACGAGCGGTGGTTATGAATGTGTAGTTGAAATTAAATGTTTTTGACTTAAATTTTAAACCAATTTATAAATTGTATCCAAACGGTGGCTTAGAAAACCAGTTTGGTTATTTGCCGTGGAGATCTATCATGGAACCCATTTACTTGAAGATTAATGAAAAAGAGCAGACAAAGAAGCAATATTTTTGCTCATGAACCCCCCAAAAAAAAAAAAAATTTTTTTTCCTTATCCCCCCCCCCCCCCCCCTCTCCCATTTGGCAAGAGCAAATGTAAGCTGTTCGTAAAAGTTCTATAGCCTTTGCTTAGGAAAAAGGAATTTCTATCACATGTTAAGAATATAGATATGCCAATTATATATGTGAGATCTGTAGGAATGGTGGTAGAGAATTTTCTACTGGTATATGCTTGTATCGATGTTCACATCCTGTCTGTATCTCTTAATTTTATTGGTGTTGGCAAGAGCAAATGTAAGCTGTTCGTAAAAGTTCTATAGCCTTTGCTTAGGAAAAAGGAATTTCTATCACATGTTAAGAATATAGATATGCCAATTATTTATGTGAGATCTGTAGGAATGGTGGTAGAGAATTTTCTACTGATATATGCTTGTATCGATGTTCACATCCTGTCTGTATCTTTTAATTTTATTGGTGTCTAAACTTACAAAAAGCATGAAAAATATTGTTTTACTATGCATAAAATCACAAATAGCATAATTTTACAGTAAACAAAGAACATCCACTTGATTTAATTGTGATAAAAACTTTTAAATTAGCTCCTATGGCCTCGAGCCAGTTTATGGTAATTGAGGAACATTCAATTAAGAGATATCTTATTCCATCTAACGGATGTGGAGGTAAAAAAGAGAATGAAAGAGAAATGTTGGCCAATTCTTAAGTCTCGTGTCAAATTTCATGGGTACGAGCCCTGAATTGAATGAGTAGTGTTCTAGCACATGTCACGTTTCTTAAAGATCCCTATTTTGAGCATAGAATTACTTGCACCAAAATATACGACTCGACAATTTTACCACCGAAAGGTCTAGTTCTAATAGGTTTACATGACATAGGTTGGATCGGCTAATGCTCCAATTGCTACTTGTAAGCAGATTGGAGTGTCCAAGGAATTGTGAGCTGGGTACTGTCTGAGGCTCTTGGTCGTGATAATATATCCATTGTTGCCGAAGAAGATGTTCAAGTACTATCCAAGATTGGCGCATTTGGGTTACTGGAAGCTATAGTGAAGACAGTTAATGACTGTCTGGCTGAAGCACCTCGGTTTGGACTAAGAGCACCTGTTATGGCTCTCAGTACTTCAGAGGTTCTCGAAGCCATTGATAGATGCAACTCAATGGGGGGCTCTAGTGGAAGATTTTGGGTTCTGGATCCTGTTGATGGCACATTGGGATTTTTACGTGGGGATCAATATGCGATTGCTCTTGCTTTGATTGAAGATGGAGAACCCGTGCTTGGAGTTCTTGGATGCCCAAATTATCCTGTGAAGAAGGAATGTTTAAGTTACCAAAATGGCTACCGTAGAATCTTGTCTAGGTTAACGTCACTGTCATCTGAATCTTGGGATAGAGGTTGTGTGGTTTATGCAAGCAAAAATTGTGGTAATGCGTGGATGCAGCCATTACTAAATAAAGAAAAGAAATTTGTTTGGCCGAACTCTGCAAGGCAAATCAAAGTCTCCTCCGTTGATAACCCAGCATTGGCGACCTTCTGTGAACCAGTTGAGAAGGCTAATTCAAGCCATTCCTTCACAGCAGGAGTGGCTCACAGTGCTGGACTTAGGTAAATATGTTTCTCCATTCCCTCCTGCTTTCTGGAACTCCATGACCCAGGCCTGTACATTATCATGACCAGATTTGCTTGCTGTCTTCTAAAGTTACCGTATAATTCCAAATGCACAATAGCTTAACTATTAACTCGTAGAAACCAAAAGATAAGTAAATTTACCACCCCACCTCAACCCATCTGAAACAAAAGCATAACAAGGAATCGACCATTTTCTGTAAATCAGTTCATTATGTAAAAATTTCACAAACGGTATTGATCACAGGAATCAACCATTACGTATCCATTCCATGGTAAAGTATGCAGCCATAGCCCGAGGAGATGCTGAAGTATTCATGAAGTTTGCCAGGGCTGGCTACAAGGAGAAGATATGGGATCATGCAGCTGGTGTTGTTATTGTTCAAGAAGCCGGTGGTGTTGTAACTGATGCCGGAGGTCATCCTCTATGCTTTTCTAAAGGTATGTACTTGGAAGGTCTTGATCGGGGTATAATTGCTTGCGCTGGAGCTAGATTGCATGAAAAGATCGTCAAGGCTGTTGATGCTAGCTGGAATTCATCTAGCCTCTAGTTTCACTTGTACATTGCCAAGTTATTAATGTTGTTGTATTGGCATTATAAATATCATAATTAAAATGGTTGTCTGAATAATACAAGATCATCATGCTATATGAATAAAATGATAATGTTTATTCCCTTAAAGCACGCGTATCATGGGAAGTTGATGTTTTTCAAAGTCTTCTATAACTCCAAGCCTAACTGTAAAGTGTGTCTATATTAGTCGACCAACTTATTTCTTTGAATCATGTAAATGATCTAGGCTTTGGTGCTTGCTTATCCAACTTTCTTTCTGCTGCCATAATTCTTCTTGCAGTGCTGATGGCAAATCTAATCTTCATCATTGGAGATGCATATGGTTAAAGATCAAAACGTCTATAAGATGAATGTACGCAAATGAGGATTGCTAAATTGATGCATGATTGTACTAAATGGATAAGATACGAATCAAAATCAAAGAGTTGATGTGGAGTCGACCTAGGGGTTGAGACGCCCTTATTTAATAATACAAACACTTAAGCTGTAAGGATTGAAGGGGTATGTATATGGAATGAGGCCAACAAGTATGTAGTGTAAATAGTCATATTGAATTAGAGGCCTATTCATGTAGCTAGTAGTTGGCCCTCCCCCTCATGGCCTCCTCTTTTAATGGCTCTGCATCTTTGTTTCCATGTAGCTGTCTACTTGGTGTTGTACAGGAGGGATTCAGTGAGATAGTGGAAAATATGATCCACGTTAATGTCACCTCGAACGCATATTAGCACGTACCAACGACCTACAAGTTTTATTTTTATTTAATGAAATTGGCTACACCTGATTTTTATTATTATTATTATTATTTTTTTTTTTTTTTTTTTTTTTTTTCT